TGAGGGGAGGGAAAATTTTAACTTAAAATCCCCTCCCCTCTCCATTTTTCCTCCCCTCCAAAAATAGGATAATTTGAAAGGGAGGGAAAATTTTATTAATAAATGCAATTATTATAAATATTATTTGAGTTTTTGTTTTTAACATCATTAATCATATATTTATTATTTTAACATTATTTTCTCTTTTGATTTATTTTCTTACAAAACAAGATTTACTATTTTCTCTTAACTCTCTCTCTAACAAAATTCTTCCAAACAAAGTAAAATTCACATCCTCTTCTCTTCTCCTCTTCATTAAAACACAATGTTATAAAAACCAGACCGGACCGACCGGTTCGACCGAGAACCTGACCTAGTACCGGTCCGGTTTGAATGTTTGGACCGCTGGGAGCAAGAACCGCCATTGAATCGTGTGAACCGGTTGAAAACTGGAAAAACCGGAGAACCGGTAACGGTTTGGCCGGTTCGGCGGATCTTAAAAAAAAAAGAGAGACAAAAATTAGACGAAAGCAAAAGAAAAGGCAGAAAAGAATACAATATTCGTCCCAAATTCTGAAATTGAAAATCCCAATCCAAAACCCTACATCTCTGCCTCCATTACCGTCCCACAAGATCGAAATTCTCCGAGCGGTCACATATCCTTCCGTGAACACCTCGCCGACTCCAACCATATTTATTCCGTTTGTGAACACTTCGCGACTCCAACGGTTCGACCAGATTTTCTCCTGTTGAGTGAAGATGACAATATGGCATACGAATTAAAAAAAACGAAAAAAGTAAATAACACAAGATTTACGTGGTTCGGCAATGTGCCTACGTCCACGGCGGCGGGATCTTTATTATTCTCAATAGTCACAAATACATCAACCATGTATTTATACTATAACCCTACAAGGTATTAATTTACTTAAATACCCCGTACCGTACCGCGGGGGCTCTGCCCCCGCACCCCCGTCTATACCTCGGTCGCTCTGCTTCCCTCGCTACGTTCGCTCCGTTACGCTCGCAGGCATCAGCCTGCCTCCTTCCTTTGTCAATATATGAGCCATATCAACAAATCTGCACCTTGGCGAATATATCACCTCCTTAGGAGAACACAATAGCGAGCACCTCTGCGAGACACACCAAGTAGCCCGGGGGTACACTGCAACTCTAGCATGCAGAAACATTCAACAAATCCAAGCAATGCTTAAATTTGTCAGAAGTAACAGTCTTAGTCAACATATCAGCAGCATTCTCTTCAGTATGAACTTTCTCCAACTGAATATCACCAGAAGCAATCCATTCCCTAATCTTGTGGAACCTCACATCAATATGCTTCGTCCTAACATGATATATCTGATTCTTAGCCAAATGAATGGCACTCTGACTATCACAATGTACTAGAACTCCACCTTGCTGAATACCCAACTCTCTAACCAATCCAGCAAGCCACACTGCTTCCTTTGCCGCTTCAGCCAAAGCAATATACTCAGCTTCAGTTGTAGATAGAGCAACTATAGGCTGAGTATTCGACCTCCAACAAATAGGCCCTCCACCAAAAATGAAGACATACCCAGTGGTAGATCTCCTATTATCCAAGTCCCCAGCATAATCAGAATCCACATATCCTACAACCAAAGGATCCAACCGCTGATCTCCAAATACAATACCATGTCCTGCAGTACCTTTCAAATATCTGAAAATCAATTTGACTGCCTCCCATTTTTATTTACCTGGCCTTGACATATACTTGCAAACTTGACCAACAGCATGAGCTAAATCAGGACGAGTACATACCATGGCATACATCAGACATCCAACAACACTGGCATAAGGTATCTCCACCATATCGTGAGTCTCCTTGTCCGACTTGGGGCACTGATCAGCAGAAAGCTTGAAGTGGTTTGCTAATGGAGTGCTGACCGGTTTTGCTTCATTCATCCCAAACCTCTGTAGCACCTTCTCCACATAACCCTTCTGAGATAACCACAACTTCTTTGATCCTCTATCCCTGTGAATCTCCATCCCAAGAATCTTCTTCGCAGCCCCTAAATCCTTCATCTCAAATTCCTGACTCAAAAGGCTTTTCAGATCAATATATCACGCATATTCTTGGCAGCAATAAGCATGTCATCAACATAAAGTAACAGAAAAATCATAGAACCATCACCAAGGCTCTTAGTGTAAACACAGCAATCAAAATCACAACGCTTGTAGCCAATCTTCACCATATACGAATCAAACCGTATATTCCACTGCCGCGATGCTTGCTTCAAGCCATACAAGGATTTCTTCAACCTGCAAAATAAATGCTTCTTCCCTGGTTGAACGAAGCCCTCTGGCTTCTGCATGTAAATAGGCTCTGCGAGATCACCATGCAAGAAAGCAATCTTCACATCCATCTGCTCCAATGCAAATACCAACTAGCCACCAATGCAAGTACAACCCTGATCGAAGTATGTCTAACCACATGGGAAAATGTCTCATCATAGTCAATCCCCTTTTGCTGTGAGTATCCTTTAGCCACCAACGAGCCTTGAACCTTTCCCCTCCTTTTTTTGTTACCGATGACTTCCTTTTGTAAATCCACCTACAACCAATAGCTCTCTTCCCTTCGGGAAGAACATCCAACTCCCATGTCTGATTCTTGTGTACATAATTCATCTCTTCTTCCATGGCAGCCTTCCATCTATCATTATTCTCACAAGAAACAGCCTCCTGGAAAGTGCAAGGATCCACACTAGTGATCGTAAGAGCAAACGCCACCATATCCTCATAACCAAACCTGACCGGAGCTTGTATATTGGTACGCCTCACTCTATCCCGAGCTAACTTGTAGCTCTCTGGCACATCAGTTGGGCCTGAAACATCATGATCAACATCATCAGGTGCAGAACTCGAACTCTCCCCCTTATCAAGAACTGCTGGCACATGTTCCAACTCCACCTGTACCTTATATGCATCTGATCCCAACATAGACTGTTCATAAAAAACTGCATCTCTACTAATCACCGTCTTCTTCTCAACTGGATCCCAAAACTTGTATCCCTTCACACCTTTCTTATAGCCCAAAAAAGTGCACTTCTTTGATTTAGCATCAAGTTTTG